ATATTTCTGTATTTATTTCAGGTTTAGTCAGTCGTACACTTAGTTCTTATCAGTGTTTAAAAGAGGACGTGTTAAAACACTGTTTAGTCAAATTTAAACATGAAACAGCAAAGTTACCTACAACCGGCCCTTCGAGGGCCACCATAACTGTCATGGAGCCCTCGGTGAAAATGAGTTAGACACCTCTGTCTAATGTAATTGTGGTGAAGCCGATTAAATGTAATAACTGCCTGCCATACAGGTGAGCTTCTTGTTGAAATGATCTGCTGTGCTCTGACAGCAGCAGTCGACTGTTAAATTAGCAGGACGGACTTATGAGCAAGCGAACATTCACAGCTTTCCACAGTTAATAAAAAGAAGTTTTCCAACACCTGTTTGAAAAAAACAAAACAACTAAGTTGTTTAAAAGCTTCACTCTGTGCAATGTGTTTTATACAAGATGTTAAAACTCATTGTGGTAGTACATAAGAAAAAACATACTCTCGTAATTAATACAACCCTTCGACTTRATGTTAGTACAATGGTAGGGGAACAGTGATGTAAACTAAATGTCACAAAAACAARACTCATTAGTAAGAACTGATGTAATTTTATCACAGTATTTGTGGTCTGATGTTTTATTTTTCACTGATGCTGTTTCTGAAAGTGAGTTTTCTGCTTTGTGGTGATCATCTTKGGTTACTAATAACTCCTGTAGCTTACATGACTGGAGTTTAATGTTTCAATTGGTGCTAGTTATTTCATCAAACCTCAGACACAAACAGGACTTTATCTCTTACTGTTCACTGTAATTCCAACAGACGGTAAATCGTCCATCTCTGATTGGAAGCAAGCCTTTGTTTTTTGTTCTCTCACACACACGCACACACACACACGCGCACACACACAGGTTAATATGACAAGTAAACAGGTCATTCATTAAAAAACAAACTCATCTCTCTGCTCCTCATCACTTCTATCTGCATCATGTGCCAGCTAGTTGTGGATTTAGTCCCCACACTGTTGGAAATTTTTACCCATTAGTTCCACAGTTTTTAGACCTGAATATTACAGTATTTTTTATGATTTTTAGGGACTCATTCAGCAACACTTTGTGGTTTTATGTGTACTGACCAAAAATCAGCTGTGTTTTTATGGTTTKTGTTTCTCTCTCCCTTTCTTTCATACTTGCCTCCTATTTGTTGACCCTTCATTTTCATTACTCCTACACCCATATTTGTATGATCCTGCCCCCCCCCCCCCACTCCGCCTCCTCCCTCTTGCCACAGAACTCCTCGGGCATCACCGTCCCAAAGCCTCCCAAACCTCCAGACAAGCCGCTGATGCCCTACATGCGGTACAGCCGGAAGGTAAGCAGGAAGGTAAGACACCCATCCATGGTGTCTGCTTTTACTGCTTGTCCTCCCCTCCCCCTGAAAAATCTGCAGGAGTTTGAGGGTGGGAAACAGCCAAGCTATGACGCCTCGCTACCATCTCCACCACCAAGTGGAGCCTGTCCACTTTTGATCTGTCTGCTTTTAGTAAAGATAAATTCAAACATCTGTTAAAAAGTTTTAGGCTAGAATAATCTTCTCTAGCACTTTACCTAACCCCTTTACTCCAACTTGCTCTTGACTTGCTTCAAAGCTGTATTTTCACCCTTGAATGCTGCAGTTAAACAATAATCTGCTCTTAAATATATTCAATTTCATTATCTGTTTTGCAAAGAATTGAAGATAATTTTAAAACCTTTRCTTCTCTTTCCTCTGCACTTTTCTGCCTTTATTTCCTCTTGTTTTTGGTCCATAATTGTGAAGTGTAATGATCAGATGGTGTGTGTGTTTTTGCATCTTGTGTGCACACTGAAGGTTTGGGACCAAGTGAAGGCATCCAATCCAGACTTGAAGCTGTGGGAGATCGGTAAGATCATTGGAGGAATGTGGAGGGACCTGACGGATGAAGAGAAGCAGGACTACTTGAATGAGTACGAAGCCGAGAAGGTGGGCTGTTTGAAATGTAGCACATAACACAAAATAACGACTTTGACTCTCAGAGAGCTGATCATGACATTAGAGTTTTTTAACCTGCCTCATGACTAAAACAGGAAATGACTGAATCGAGCTTTTAGCTGTAAAATTAAAGGCCCAGCATTCTTGAATGAGATGATTACTACCTGCTGCATTTAATGCCATAGCTTTAAACTAAGATCATGCATGTTGACAAATGAGTTGTAGCTTTTTTATTCTAATGTCATCTTGTGTGATATCATAACGTGTCGCTCTGAGTATGTGTTKGGGATGAGCCTTTGCCACTACTAGGGCTGGGTATGGTGGCGAACTCCCTAAATTGATTCGATTTCGATTCACAAGGTTCTGAATTGATTAATCATGATTTGATTCGATCTGCTCTTCAATAATGAAAGTGGTCCAACTGTGTTGCAAAACACAAATTCACTTAATTTTTCCCCTCACCATAAACAACAGATTTTAAGGGCAAACTTGTAAATTGGACAGTTTATTTTGRAAAAAACTGTCAAGTTTCAAAGGTTTTAAATTAAAAAGGAATTGCAGGTGACAGTGGTTTTGGATACTTTAATTTTTAGGAAATTTAGAATATTTTTCTTGAGGAAGAAGTTGTGATGAGAATAAGGTTGAAGGAGAGGTGTGAGCTAATATAAGTGTATACCGCATTTTTCGGACTATAAGCC